ACATTCCGCTTACTTGTGGCATAAACGTTTGGGTCATATATCCAAAGAAAGGTTAGAAAGATTGGTAAAGAATGAGATTCTACCGAATCTAGATTTTACCGATTTTGGCTTATGTGTGGAATGCATTAAGGGCAAGCAAACGAAACATAATAAGAAAGGAGCCACGAAGCGATCGACTTTGGAAATAATACACACCGATATTTGTGGACCATTTGACACTCCATCCTTTAATGGAGAAAAACACTTCATCACCTTTATAGATGACTTTTCACGGTATGGATATATCTATTTCGTTGCATGAAAAATCTCAAGCTATAAATGCCTTTGAGGTGTTTGTAAAAGAGGTTGAGAGGCGATTAGATAGAAAGGTGAAAATTATAAGATCCGATAGAGGTGGTGAGTATTATGGAAAATATGATGAATCCGGACAATGTCCCGGTCCATTTGCTAAGTTCCTCGAAAGTCATGGCATATGTGCACGGTATACTATGCCCGGCACACCGCAACGAATGGTGTGGCGGAAAGACGAAATAGAACATTAATGGATATGGTTAGGAGTATGATGAGTAATTCCTCATTACTCAAAAGTTTATGGACGTATGCACTTAGAATTGCTATGTATCCGTTAAACGGGGTTCCTAGCAAGGCGGTTCCTAAAACTCCTTTCGAGTTATGGATCGGAAGGAAACCTAGTTTAAGACACTCGTATGTTTGGGGTTGTCCATCGAAGCACGAATTTATAATCCACATGAAAGAAAAGCTGGATTCTCGAATAGTTAGTGGTTACTTTATAGGTTACCCGGAGAAATCCAAAGGGTATAGGTTTTATTGTCCGAACCACGGTTCTAGAATTGTTGAAACGACCAATGCCAAATTTTTTGAGAATGGTGAGGTTAGTGGGAGTGCTTGAAAAACAGAGTTGTGGATATTAATGAAATAAGGGTTAATATTCCATTACCCATAAATGTTCTTAAATACACAACCACAACAAATGTTGTTCCTATTTTGGAAGATCAAAATAATCAAGAACAACATTTGGATAATGAAGAAACACCCCATGAAGAACCTAACTTACCATTAGCTCATGCAAATGAACCAATTGGTATAGCTTTAAATAGACCTATAAGGGTTAGAAGGTCGGCTATTTCTAATGATTATGTGGTTTATTTGCAAAAGTCAAATTTTGATTGTGGCATTGATAATGATCCTGTTTCGTTTTCACAAGCTATAGGTAGTGATAAGTCCGAAAGATGGATTGATGCTATGAAAGAAGAGTTGAAATCAATGGCTCAAAACAATGTTTAGGATCTTGTAGACTTACTAGAAGGTTCTAAACGAGTTAGCTGCAAATGGGTTTTTAAGACCAAATGCGACTCGAATGGTAATGTTGAAAGATATAAAGCTAGACTTGTTGCCAAAGGCTACACTCGGAAAGATGGCATTGATTATAAGGAGACCTTTTCACCTATCTTAAAGAAAGATTCATTGAGAATAATTTTAGCATTAGTGGCTCAATTTGATTTAGAGCTACATCGGATGGATATGAAAACGGCCTTTCCGAATGGGGATCTTGAGGAGGAAGTTTATATGGATCAACCTGAAGGTTTTTCCATTGAAGGTAAAGAAAGTATGGTGTGTAAATTGAAGAAGTCAATATATGGACTTAAACAAGCTTTCGAGCAATGGTAGATTAAGTTTAATAATACCATTACCTCTTTCGGTTTTAAGGAAATCACTATTGATCGGTGTATTTATCGGAAGATTAATGGGAGTAAGTTTATATTTCTAGTTCTATATGTTGATGACATTTTGCTTACTCGCTAATAACTTGGGTTTGTTGCATAAGACTAAAGAATTTCTTTCTAAGAGTTTTGAAATGAAAGATATGGGAGAGGCATCCTATGTGATTGGAATTTCAATATTCCGTAAGAGATCGAAGGTTTATTAGGATTGTCTCAAAAAGCCTATATTGAGAAAATTCTTGAGAAATTTAACATGAGCAAGTGCTCGGCAGGTGTAATCCCTATTCAAAAGGGAGATAAATTTAGTCTTATGCAATGTCCAAAGAATGATGTGGAACGTAAGGAAATGGAAACAATTCCATATGCTTCTGTTGTGGGCAATTTGATGTACCTATAAACCCGTACTAGACCCGACATCGGCTTTGCGGTAGGGATGCTGGGTAGATATCAAAGTAATCCCGGTATTGATCATTGGAAAGCTGCAAAGAAAGTGTTGAGATACCTTCGGGGAACAAAGGATTATATGCTCACTTACAAGAGGTCCGATCACTTAGAAGTGATTGGATATTCGGATTCAGATTTTGCTTGGATGTGTTGATAGTAGAAAGTCAACATTTGGCTATTTATTCCTATTAGCGAAGGAGCAATCTCATGGAAAAGTGTCAAACAATCTATCATTACGTCATCCACTATGGAAGCGGAATTTGTAGATTGTTATGAGGCTACAATTCATGCATTATGGCCGCAAAACTTTATTTCGGGGCTTGGGGTTGTCGACACGATAAGCAAGCCGCCGAGAATTTATTGTGATAATTCTGCAGCGAGTTTTCTTCTCTAAAAATGACAAATACTCTAGAGGTGCAAAACATATGGAATTAAAGTATTTTGTTGTTAAAGAAGAGATTCGAAACAAAGAGTGTGTATAGAACATATTAGGACGGATCTCATGGTTGCGGATCCTTTAACTAAGGGTTTACAACCAAAGACTTTCAAAGAACATGTGCTTAGGATGGGTCTTGGTTGTATCGATGATTGATGATGATGTTTTAACACTCTTGAGCTCAATAATGATATGTTTTCGAATTTTATATTTCTTATTCATTATGTTTATGTATACATGATTGCTTGAATAAGAAATTTATATGTATTTTCATAACAAGTATGTGGACCGTATATTGTTTATATGCAACTTATGAACCTAATATAATAAGTTCTTAATGTAGTGGTATATGGAAGGGAGTATACGACTATACCGTGTATGACCGTCATAACCCACATTATGTGATTTGTTGTGTTGAGGTACTTATGATGTTAACGGTTTATAAGATTTAATTTTGCTAGCCTTATGTTATACTATTAAATGTAATGATGAAACATCCGACCAAGTGGGAGAATGTAATAAATATGGCCCGATGTTATGGCTCATATTTTTTATGTAAGCCCATATTAAGTTGGTTTAGGGTTTTCTTAATTTAATAGTATGTTAAATCTGGACCGTTAATTTAGTACTTGATGGACGTACAAGATTTAATATTAATATGTATATAAACTAGTCCTCTCTCTACCCTAAATGAGTATGCGGACAAAAACACAAAAATACGTAACGTACGTATTTTGGTTATCCATCAAGCCACCTGCTACGAAAAGAGGGTCGAGGGAGAGAAACTAATTTATAAAGTTCGTGATTGTTGAAAGCTCTCTCTATATCATGATGAATTCCGCTCAAGGTAAGTAATTTATTCGCTTTCCTCATGTGATTATTATTTTATTCAAGATCTTGAATGGGCATGAATAATTTATGTCTTGATCATTGTATAGAATGATTTAGGTTTTGATCTTTAAGCAAGAAAGTTTTTTTTTAACACTTCGGTCCTTGGATGACTAATAAGATATTATTATCACAACATCGGCGTTCACAAAGACCCTAAATATCATGATAAAACTAAATACGTACATTGGGGGTAAGATGTAACTTGATTTGAGACACCTTCTGTTACCAAAAGAGGCTTAAATTACAAGGCATGGCATTTTAGGTTATTCTATATCATTTATAACAAAATACCATATTTTTAACAATTTTGGCTGCATCTATATACATATATAGTTTACATACATAAAAATCTTTATTTAGAAGACACGGAATCAGTTAAAACGATTTGATCATTGCTCAAACCATTAAGAAATTGACCAATCTTAAGATTCATGTTAGTTTAATTAGATTAATAGATATTATGATTGCGATTCCCAAACACTAATACAGTAATAGGCAAAAAGGTCGACAAAAATCCTCCAATTCACATAAAATTAGTTTTCTTGTCATGTGTTTGTTTGACGGATGCCATTTGGCAAGTATGTACAACCATTCTATATATGGCATCCAATCATTTCCGATTGGATAACAGACCAACCAACCATATCTTGATGTCTATAATTTCAAACATCGAATCATGCCAAGTTTGCCTAGATCAAGCCCCACCCAAAAAATAAATAAATAAATAAATAAAAATACAGTAACATATGAAGGAATCTTTGACCCAAAATAATATATTTTTTCTCCAAAAATCAATAACGTGCTTGTTATGAACACAAATAAGAATCCGACGGCGTCACTGTTGCCAAGCTTGCGGGCCAGGCAAAGGACAACATGAGTAACGAATGCGATTGACTGAGCAGTGCATAAGGCGGCGTTTCAGGGCTTCCCTTATCGGCTTTCCATATCTCTACTCCAGGACAGTACTGGTGTTTCTAGATCACCAATATATATCATGCATATTAATATCTTGTATTACCGTTGAAATGGAGTCACGCGTTTAAATAGGAGTTCAAAAGAAAACAAAAGGGAGAATGGTGCTGTTGTATAGTATAGTATACGGTCCTGCCTGTTATCTTATATATATATATTCATTAACATTGACGTGACTATGCATGCATTCCAATCCTTTTCTGTTGAGATTTCCTTCGTCTTCTTCTTACTTGTACTGCCTCTTTTGGCTCCTTCTGCTCTGCTTGTCTCATGATTAGTACGTACTTGGTGTCATCAACTCCCTGTTGATCATGATACATATATATAACATTGAAGAGTTTGTAAGATCAAGGGTCAATTAATAGCTGGGGTTGGGCCGAGCTTCGGTTTTATAAATTGTTGGACTGAAAGTACTAAAGGCTCAAGGCATCTGCATCTTACTATATAAGGTTAAGGGCCCCCTCCCAATCTCCCTCTCTCTCTCTCTGCAAGTTAAACAAAGGAAGAAAGAAATTATGCATCCTTACTGGTGCAAGGAAAAACTAAGCAGAGATCAAAAGCAGTCAGAGTTTGCCGGATACAGAGGTCCTTCTCTCTCTGATCAGCTGGTAATTAATTTTACATACTCTTTCTTTCTACTTTAAATCCCCACAAAAGCAGGCCAATCCTGTCACTGCTAGCTTGCTTTCCTCTCTCCCTGTCTCTGCTTTGACTACAGTATCTCAAATTCCTCACTTAATTAATTAACAGACGAACCTCATCAATAAGAAGAAGAAACCTTCTTCTCTTCCTTACTGACCTTTCTCTTTTTCCTCCTCCACGGTTATAATATATCAGTCCTGTCCTTTTTAGAGTAACCACGTACTCTCTTCACACTTAATTTTTTTTAAACAACAAAATAAAAAGAGGAATTAATAGTATTTACATGCAGGTGTCAAAGAAATTAGGAATTCGAATGGCAAGCAGCGTGGGAATCGACAGAGAGTCTCCAAGGGCAACGTTAACGCCAAGAGCACAACTAGAAAAGCCCTACGAGATTGTGAGGCGGCTGGTGTCAAGCAATGCTGTGGTGGTGTTCTCTTTGAGTGGATGCTGCATGTGTACTGTGGCTAAGCGTCTTCTCTTTGGTCTTGGCGTCGGCCCCACAGTCATAGAGCTTGACCGCCATTATGCTGGTCCTGACATCCAAGCCGTTCTGTTCCAACTTGCATCTGACGGCCAGCAGCAGCTTGTCCCTGCTATCTTTGTGGGTGGCAAGTTTCTAGGTGGAGTTGAGACTCTCATGGCTTGTCACATTAACGGAACTTTGGTGCCTCTCCTCAAGGATGCTGGTGCACTTTGGCTCTGATCTTAATTTAATTTCCAGCTCATTGCTCAATATCGAACACACTGGCCAAATTAATTATATCATCATATAATTAACTTTATAATTTGTCCTTTCCAGGCTTGAATTAAATTTGTATGCTCGTAGGCACGTATTGTTATTGATGTTTTTCTGCCAGATTTGTTTTTTTTTTTCCCTTCTGATTTGCCTGCGATGCAATGAAAAGTACGTAGGACTACACCATGCTAAAGTTCAGTGGATAATATAATTCTCAAGCATCATGTTCAGATCCGCAGTTGACCGATTAATGGTTTTTTGTTTTTAGATGTATTAATCAATGGTTGTTTGCATTGAAGGAAATGATGGATCGCAACACCGAGCTAATTTTGCTTTCGTCATTAGTGCTCTTTGGTGAACACCAATGATTTTTTTCTTTTCTTTCCTTTTTGTCCGATTAGAAGGAGAGGGCCAAGAAAGGATTACATCTAGCAAAATAGGAGTTGAAACTTCACAAATTAATCTCATTTGAAACAGAATCCAAAATATCAACAAGAATTACGAAGTACAATATGCTAAATATCTTATATATATATATATATATATTGAGGGTGGACAAGGCTACTATACACATCTTAATGCTTAAGTATGAAATACAATTGTTAACCCCGATGTAGCCTCATGTCAATTCCATAACTATTACATACGACATTGATACGCAGAATAAAGGTTGTCGATGAATAGTGAGGATCCATTTTATATGCCAGGCACGTTGGATCTGTGTGTTTCTACTAGCTAGCCGGGATCTCTAAAAATAGAATTTTTATATGGAAACGCAAGAGACCAAATCTTATTTATAAAGAGAACAATTATTTATGATGGATGTAATGAAAGACTTAGTTGTGCTAGACAGAACTTTGGTACAGAAAGAATCATTTCAGTACGAAATCACTTTTTAAAATTATTTAAAATAAAAACCATTTAAGATTGACATTAACGTTATATATTATATATATATATATATATGCAGCATTGTTTAATTTCAAGTCAATAGTTGATGTCTTTTTAACTGAGTTAACAACTCAAATGTTTGGCACTGAACTAGAGTCATTAGATGTACTATAGATAAACATCTTAAATATAAAAGAGATGGTACATAAATCCAAATGGGGTTTGTAAGTACATTCATATTAGATTGTTTAGATGGGATTATTTTCGTTTTTCTATCTATCGTAGGTGGACATCGGGACCGCAAAGAATAGAAAAAGAAGTTAACACTTAATATTAAAAGAAATTAAGAAACATAACATGACTGGTTTGCTTAGAGGTCAATACATAAACGGTTGGTTGCATGAATAATAATAATCACTTTTCAATTTTCTATCTGAAATAGACAGCATAACATGCTATTTTTAAACATTCTTTCTGGTTTATATTATGCTAAACTATCCAAATCTATTTGGGTGTATTTGGCATCAAGTTAAAAGCTAATCAGTCAAGCAATTTGGGACTTAGCTAGTGATTAAAGTCTTTATCCTCACTCTCAAATAAGATAAGATAGATTTTGGAAACCCTTTTCAATAATATACAAAATTAAATTAACAATAACTTTACAAACAAAATAGAAATTCACTTGGCAACAAATAGGTAGAAATCGATAACGATAAGGTATATTATTTTAAATTTTTTGCACGATAGCAAGTAGACTTAAACTGCCAATGACTAGGCAAAATCATTTTAAAAATTCTACTTGATAACAAAAAGGTGCAAACTGACAATGGAAAGACAAAATCATTTTTAAAAGTATGCTCAACAAGAAGCAGGCACAAATCGACAATGGTGAGGAAAAATCATTTTTTCGAAAAAATTTGTCAATGAAAATATCAAGTAAAAAAATGGCAACAAATGTTATATTCATAAATTCATCAACAGATGAAAAAATAAACTATAAACTACAAGTAAATCATTTTACACGAATTGTTCATCAATGGATGAAAATTGTTCGATAACAGCCACACAAGATCATTTAATACAAATCAATGAAAAAAATTGGCTAACAAGAGTGCCATAAAATCATTTAACACAAATCATACGATTTCAAACCCAATTAATTACATTATCATTTATGGAAGGTAACAACCAAATTCAAGTCAAACGCACACAATCACACTCACTATCACACTAAGATCGATACTCATCTCGGATAATTCATGAAATTAAATCTCATTTTCTTCATCCCAACTTCATCACGAAGTATTGATTCTATCTTTATTTCTCCTCAATATACCTAACGATCTCGAGCCCTTTAGGTTTGTCACGTAGCTACAAATTACTATACTTCAAAATTATTCGTAATTTATTGACAAATATACAAAATGTTTAATATAATTTAAAAAGTGATAAAAGGTCTAAACTAACCTAGAAAGTCATTGGAAATGACAAAAGTACCCCTATTCAACCTTTTCTTATAAGTTATTTTTTAGCCCATGGACAAGCCTAGAATCACCAAAATGTCCTCATGCGCTTAAATTTACAAAAACTACATTGTGAACAGCTATGTTCTAGCTTTTGTTCGGTTACTTTCCAACCTTTGTTTGGCACTTGCTTGTTTAGAATAGCTTGCTCTTGTCTTCTCCAACTAACAAATGAAGGCCGTGTTGGTAGGAGTGTTCACTAGTAGGTTTAAACTAAAAAACCAAATCGAAATAACAATTTTGATTTATTTTTTAATTAATTTTTTAAACAAAAATCAAATCGAAATAATTCGATTTTTTGGGTTTAGTTTGATTTTTGAATTTTATCACTTGGTTATTTGAAAATTAATTTTTCTCATTGGATTGACATATCCAAATTGACCTTACTTTTGTCTTTACTTTAGGTGACCATAAGTTAATTTGATTTTGGTACCTCTCTTCTTTTATATATATATATGATATTAGAAATTTATTGAGTTCAAAAAAATATAATTTTTAAAATTGACTTAAGATTAGGTAATTCGACTTTGATTTAATTTAAAAAATACTAAATTTATTTTCAATTTAAGATTATTTGCATTGATATTAAAATTAATACAAAAATAACCCATTAATTGTAACAACAATAAAATTGACAATGCAAATCATAATTAATAAAATCTACAACAGATTAATATGTTGTTAATTTGATAACATAATTGGCCCCATTATTATAATTTGATCTCGATTCCATATATAAAAAACCTTTGGTTACTACAATCAATAGAGTGTCAATTTAAGGAAAAAAAAACTATATCATAATGGAATGTTAAATTAAAAAAAATTCTTTTAAGCCTTAACCTTTTTTACCCCTCTAGTAAGTGTAGTAGAAAGATTCTTTTTCTAAAACTTAGGCTTAAACTTGCCCTTTACCTTGCCTTTATGCCCATCAACAAGAAGAACATCACTATTATTTTTTTATTTATCTTAGGCTGAGATTCCCTTAGCATGAACAAGTAACTCTCTAAGAATTATTTTTATACACATCATGTTAAAGTTCATGATAAATTATTCAAAACTATTTGGCAACGATTGCAACACCAAGTCTATGGATAACTCAACATCCATTCAAACTTTAAGCTCAACTAGCTTATCATTATAGCCTATCATCTTAGTAACATGCTTCTCAATATTGGATCTCTTATCCATTTTGGCTCTCAATATTGTATATGGAAAGAACTCTTGGAGAGTTGATGTTCATGCTCGAGGGAAGGTCGACCTAAGATTAAAAAAAAAAAAAAAAAAAAAAAAAAAAAACAAGAAGTGATGTTCTTTTTGTTGATGGGTGCAAATGCAAGGTAAAAAGTAAGTTCAAGCCTAAATACCAAAAAAAGAAGCCTTCTACTGCATATACTTGGAGGGACCAAAAAGGCTAAGACTTAAAAGAGTAAAAAAGATATAGCATGTTTTCATTGCAATAAAAGAGGCATTAGAAATGCAACTGCGAGGAGTACCTAGATGAGGTACAAAAGAAGAGTTCTTTTAGCACTTCAAGTATTTACATTATTTAAGTTAATTTTCTACTTTTAAACTTATCTCATGGGTATTTGATACTAGATGTGGTGCTCACATTTATACAAATGTGTAGGAGTTTAGAGGATTGAGGAGGATTGCTTCAAGAGAGGTTGAGCTATGTGTTGGCAATTAATCAAGAGTTATATCGAGAATTATTTAATTAAATCATATTTCTAAGTCTTTCACTTGTCAATTAATTTTCTATTCACATATAACACTTAGCAACATTAATTTTGTAAACAAAGCACTTATCAATAATAACATAAGCATGACATAAATATACTTAATAAATTATACACATATAAGGCATAAAAATATTTTAGGTATTATGTGTCGACTCCACTATCAAGTCCACTCCCCAAAACACCTGCACTAGTAAGGCCACAATCACCTACTGAGCCACTATCGGTAGCGCGATCATGAATATTACTAGTATCGGTGTCACGATTGTGAACACTATCGTTATTAGAGCCACGAGCATTACCATCGTAAGCGGATCTGTTTGTATGTGACGTTGGGATGGAACGACCTAATCCACAAGGGGTAACTCTAGAATAACACCCGAAACAATTTAAAAATATAAAAAATGAATAAAAATTCAACTAAAAAAAATATATTATAAATTGTTTTCATAAAAATGAATAAAAATTTAGCATAGTCTTCGTTGTAAATTGATATTTCCTAATTACTAGAGATGTCATCCGTACAAAATTCAATACATCCAAGATACATAACATTCATCTAACAAATACATAATAGATAAAATGATATAATTTAATAAATACAATAAATAAAATTGATCTTTAATTTCGATTGTCATAATCATCTTATAAGTTTCCCTTTTCCTCAATTGATTATGATTCATATTCACTCTCATCTTCTTTATTAGTAATAATTACTTTAACATTTATAGACAATCCATTTGGATCATTCAACAACCGATTCTCACCATCTTCCTGAATTAAATTATATTAATATTCCTAATTATCCTCTTCAAACAATTATGTATTTTGCTAGACTCTAATAGATGATTTTGGCAAATTAACCATAACCTTAGCTTTTATACAAACAACCCATCAATCATGATTGTCATGCTTCAAGCCGGGATATGCAACATAATACACTTAAATCGTTTGTGTCACTAGGACAAAAGGTTTATATCCGTTGAAACTTCTATAACAGTTTACCTCCGCTAGTCTACAATACGGTTAAATCCTATTTCATTTAAAGTAGGATCAAACCAATTGCATTTGAACACTATTATTCTCTTGATTGGTAATACATACTACTTCAATTTTAGAATTTTGGTTAATATCTTGTAACAATCATTCTCATCTATACTATAATTAGATCCTTTAATGCGAACTTGACTATTCATACTTGCTCTTTCCGAACCATACTCTTATGTGTGAAACCTATATCCGTTCATAATATATCTTGGATACGGCTTTACAGATTGTAAAGGGCTTTTTCTAATATCTTGTATGAGATGATCTATTATAAGGATTGATTGTGCATATTTTGTCCGCTAAATTGACATCTAAGATAAAAAAAAAAAATGTAGTTAACAATCAATGAATTCTACCTACTAACAAAACTCAATCTAAAATAAAGATATTCACATATTCACTAAACCATTCAACCCTCTTAAAGTGAAACCGAGACTCCCCGCAAACAACCAAGTTGAGGCGAGAGACGACACAAACGAATAAAAAGAAAAAAAGAAGAAAGAAGCACAAAAGGACTTGGCTTTCGCACATAACCACAAAGGATGAGGTCCATGGTTAATTGTAACGGGTCGGGCCAAAAATAGTGATTCGGACCAAGCTCAACACATAACACACTAAACACCATAACTTCCTTTGGTCATGAAATCCAACACGGACTCGGGCAAAAGCCAATGTGTAATAGACTAAATTTAGTTTTGCTTTGGTTAATATTACGGAAGGTATGTTCTCTCCTCTTTCTTTAACATCTCTAATTGCAGTCTCTTAGTTAAGAAAATGAGGAAAATGATCCAAGTTCCAATTTTTACGAACACAACTCACCAAACCAAAGTGAAGGATGTAAAAAAGGAAAAGAAATCGAAGATGGGAAAAGGGGCGAAAAACTAAGAAAGAAAGCAAAGGTGAAAAAGAGAGGGAAATAGGGAATACACCTTTTTCATACACCAAGAAATGACAAGGCCAAAATCCATTGCAAAATAAAGACAATACATAGTAAAAAAAATTAAATAATAAAACATAGGCACCGTAAAAGACTTGCAAAGGAAAAAATAAACCCGAAAAGAAAGGACAAAAAAGGAGAGTGGGCAACCCGAAAGTAACGAAGTAAAAAAAAGAACGAGAAATTGAGAAGATCGAAGAACGAAACAAAAAAAAAATGGACGAGAAAAAAAGTGTAAGCAAAGATAGCAAGAGGGAGACAAAAATCGAGAAGAGTCGATGAAAAGTAAATGCAAATGATGACAATTATAGGGTCAAAGAAGAATAATCATCCCTCTTAACCGAAGTGAAAATGACAAAATAGAGGAATCCATTCGACCGCAACGAAACCATAAACAGAAAACCCAAGAAAAGGCGAACGGAACCAACCACCCTTCTCTAATCGAACCGAAAATGACAAAATAAAGTAACCCATTCTATTACAAACAAACAAAAAATAAGGAAATAGAAAGGAAAAGGAACCGAGACATGAAACAAAGGAAAACTATGGCAAAAATAATCGGGAAATTGGGTCACCCATGATGAAAAAGGATGGGATAACCAAAAAAAAAATAATAATGAAGGAGAAACCGGAGAAAGAGCCTACAAATGACACGAGGAAGAATCATTAAATAACGCCTATCACCAAAGAGGAGACAAAAGAAACAATGGCGAAAAGAAAAATAAGGAAAGAATAGCGAGGTAACCGAGAAGAGTAGTTGCAAATCAAAAGAGCACAAACAGATCAAGAAGAACAAACGGAAAGAGAGAGAAGGAAAGGTAAGTACAATGAAACTGAATCTAAATAAACAATATTTGAATAGTAATAACAATGGTTGAGAGGCACAAACAGTAACAATGAGTGTTAATCTATAGTATAACTGGGTGTAAAGAAACAATAAATGAATAGTGATAAATCTAGTTGTTTTAGTTTTTTCAGAATCTTTTAGTTTTGTTTGTCAATTCTCATTCAGCACTTTGGGCCTGTTCATTATATACTTTGGCACTTTGGGCCTATTTTATTTAGTTTTATTTCTACTCATTCTTCCTGGCAGCCACTACTAAAGGCGAAGTCCTAACGAGTAAGGGAGAGATTCAATAGAGCAGGTAAAGGAGGGAGCAGGAATTACGATATCTGTCTATCAATGATTCCAAATTTGTGAACCGAAGCCACAGACACAGACACCCATTCTCTTCGGCCTTTATTGCCCGAATTTGATTCAAACTTCCATTTCCCCCATATCTTCGATCTCCTCCAATGACAGCAACAACGACTGCTTGTGTAAGTAATAATTGAATTGAAGCTCTGTTGTTCTCCTAATTCCGTTGCTTAATTCAGATTCATCTTCAGCTTCATCCAAGTTTTCATTAATGTAATCTCCCCCCCCCCCTCTCTCTCTCTTAGCTGCAGATTTCCTCTGCGATTATAATTGGAAATAAAGTCTTTTCTTTCGAAGGTGGATTATTGCGGAGTTGGACGGAGTAGCCAGTACCTCAACAGTTGGAACAGTTCCAATAGTTTTGCTGCTTTTGGATTAGATTAGGTATTGGAGGAAGTTCGTAGCACCAGAGCCCCATTTCTCTATTAAAAAAGAAAAAACGAAGGAAAATATAAAAATGTTTTCTCATTTCATTTCTTACTCCAAACTTGGGGTGCTACCTAGTAATCCTTGCTCCCACTTTGTTCATTATCGCACCACCCCATTTCCCTATATTCATATTCTTCTTTCATTTTTTTCTGATTCTTCAATAGATCATTCCCCTCATTCTCATTCTTCAACAGATACAAATGATGGGTTTAACAAAATGGGTTTTAGAAATGATCACTGTCTGGTAAATTTTGAATCTGATGAAGGAGGCGGACATGGTAACTCTTCATTTACTAATAGGAATGAAGGCACACAATGGGTCGAGGATACCAGCAAAATTGAGATACACGAAGATGAATTTCGACATCCTTTGGTCAGAGAAATTTGTAGGTTGATTGAACGCAGGTCCGCTTGGAACCCTAAGCTTGAAGGGAAAATGAGGCACTTGCTTAGAGGCCTTAAGCCTCGACTTGTTTCTGCTGTTTTGCTGTCTCAAGCTGATGAAAGGCTTGCTTTGGATTTCTTCTATTGGGCCGATAGGCAGTGGCGGTATCGCCATCATCCAATTGTGTACTATGTGATGCTTCAAGTTCTTAGTAAAACTAAACTGTGTCAAGGTGCTAGGAGGGTTCTTCGGCTCATGGCACGTAGGGGAATTCAGCGTCGGCCTCGAGATTTTTGTTATGTGATGGTGTCATATAGTCGCGCTGGTAAGTTGAGGAATGCAATGCAGGTCTTGACCATGATGCAGAAAGCAGGTGTTGAACCTAATTTGTTGGTTTGTAACACTGCTATTCATGTTTTGGTGATGGCAAATAGGTTGGAAAAAGCTTTGAGATTTCTAGAAAGAATGCAACTTATTGGAATCATGCCAAATGTTGTCACCTATAACTGTTTGATCAAGGGATATTGTGATCTTCATAGGGTTCAAGAAGCCATGGAGCTAATTTCTGAAATTCCATTGAAAGGCTGTTCCCCAGATAAAGTTAGTTACTATACTGTAATGGGGTTTCTTTGCAAGGACAGAAGGATCAAAGAAGTGAGGGACTTAATTAAGAAAATGGAGGATAATAATTTGTTAGCAGATCAAGTTACTTATAATACTTTAATACATATGCTTTCTAAGCATCGGCACGCAGATGAGGCACTTCAGTTTTTAAGAGAAGCACAAAAAAGGGGATTTCAGGTTGATAAGGTTGGGTACAGTGCAATAGTTGATTCATATTGTAAGGGACGAAGGATGGACCAGGCGAAAGAAATTGTGAATGAAATGTTCACAATGGGCTGCATCCCTGATGTTGTAACTTACACAGCTGTTGTGAATGGATTTTGTCAGGTTGGGGAGGTTGACCAAGCTAGGAAGATGCTTCAGCAAATGTACAAGCATGGCTGCAAGCCAAACACTGTCTCGTATACAGCCCTCTTAAAAGGGCTTTGTCAAATGGGGAACTCTTCAGAGGCAAGGGAGATGATGAAGGCAAGCGAAGAACATTGGTGGACCCCAAATGCTATTACCTATAGTGTTGTGATGCATGGGTTTCGGAGGGAGGGAAAGCTTTCTGATGCTTGTGATGTGGTGAGGGAGATGATTGGCAAAGGCTTTTCCCCAACTCCAGTTGAAATTAACTTACTAATTCAGTCTCTTTGCCAGAAGGACAGATTGGACGAGGCAAAAAAGTTTTTGGAAGAATGCATTAACATGGGGTGTGCTGTCAACGTTGTAAACTTTACTACTGTAATTCATGGATTTTGTCTCAAGGGTGATGCAGAAGCAGCTCTGTCATTGCTTGATGACATGTACCTTAGCAACAAACACCCTGATGCAGTCACTTATACAACGATAATTGATGCATTAGGAAAGAAAGGTAGAATAGAAGAGGCCACTAAGCTTACATTGGAGATGCTTAAGAAGGGGTTAGATCCTACACCAGTAACATATAGAACAGTGATCCATCGATACTGTCAAATGGGTAGGGTGGAAGATTTGTTAAAGTTATTAGATAAAATGCTTTCCAGGCATGACTGTAAAACCGCATATAATCAAGTTATCGAGAAGCTATGTAGTTTTGGAAACCTAGAGGCAGCTGATAAACTCGTAGGTAAGGTTTTGAGAACAGCCTCAAGAGTTGATGCTAATACATGCCATGTGCTAATGGAGAGTTATTTGAGAAATGGGATCCCTCTGCCAGCATATAAAGTGGCTTGTCGTATGTTTAGTCGAAATCTGATTCCTGATTTGAAGTTGTGTGAGAAGGTGGGCAAGAAACTGATGCTGGAAGGAAAATCAGAGGAAGCAGATAACCTGTTACTGCGGTTTGTTGAGCGCGGCAATATTTCATCTCATTGTCTACAGAATTCTTAAAGCTAATGAGCATCATTTTTCTCTTGGGATTAATGTTGTCCTGTTTCTGTGGCTATCGGAATTCTGGTTTCTAAAATGGCAAGACCTTTTCCGTTCTTTCTTATTTGTCGAGTATGTGTATTTGTGAGAAGATTTCTTTCTCAAGTTTTCTTGAATTATATATTTAAATTCTGCATTGTTTTCTTGCCATGTTTTTGATTTGGTTCATCTTGTTCTTAAGAGATTATGTTGGCCAAGGGCAAAGGTTGCTCGCTTATTTTTTTTATTCAGTTTCTTTTTTCTGATGGATTTTGTTTTCCCTCCGAAACTCTCTTTATACTGAACTATTTTTCTTGCAAATTCTTAATTTTTCGTTAATTGGGCTGATATTCTTTCTTTCTTTCCTTCCTATTGCAGAAGTATACTGGTATAGTAGAGGATTGTTGTTGTGACTGTAATTATGTGGAAGTATTACATCCATCTCTCAGAGAGCATGTCAAAAGCCCCCTTTTTCTATATGCCAAGGTTTGCTGACCATCTTTTTTCTTATGGCATTTAATTGTTTTGAAGCTCATTTGGAGATTATTGAGCTCCTATACATGTCTTTTGAATAGTTGGAAAACTTTTAATGAATGTGTGAGTTATTTTACTCGGGAAAAAGAAGTTCTTTACTTGTTTTTATTGTTATTTTGTTATCTAAAGTTATTAGCTATTTCTGCATTAAAACTTATGTGAATGTAATAGGCTGTATTTGCTAGTTAGAGTTCAAGTTTGTCCTTTTCTTTTCAGTGATTGTTGAGTTGTGAAACTTTTATTGATGTCAAGGACATCTTACAAGTATAATTTTCTGCCCCTTATTTTATTAGCACTCTTCTGGAAATTTAACATTTCAGGTGCTACAATGTAGTCAGCTGGTCAAAAAGAAAAACCTTTGTCATCCAGTTCAGCAGCCCAATTTGTTTCATCTGAATAGATTACTCGTGTTCAAGTTATAAGACATGAGTTATAGTGTCATAAATGATTTTGTCCCTTGCCCATAGTGGTTCTTAGTTGATTTGCTGCATCTATATTGTCAAATGATTTTAAGTTGCATCACTAATGGAGATTGGATTGATTCCTTTCGTAATCTAGCCAACATGTTATATTCATCTTTAGGACTTTTTTATTTCATGCTAGAGTTTGGATTTATATCTTAGTCACTTATGCAGGCTAACTGGCACACTTCTCTCGCTTTCTATCTAGCCTGTTGATCAATTTTGTGGCAGGTTAAGTTGTTCCATCCTGTTGTTGATCTTTGAAATTAGACCTTGTAATAATGTGTAAGCACATATGAAATACCACTATCACAATTGGGATGCATGGGTCCATCGACAAGAAGGATATGGGATGCATTTTACTCCAAGAACTGTCCAAAATGGGAGTTTTTCTTCTTTTGTGTGCCATGAATCGTACATTTTACTGTTTGTTTGATCTCTTGCTGTATTCGCTCTCACATACCTCGATCAAAAGGTGCCTAAATCATTAGCATAATTCTGTGGTCAAATTAAACACACATTCAATGTGATGGGCAGACATATATGCATGAATTTCTAAGGCCAGTTTGATTTTTGATTTCCCTTACAACCAAAGGTTAAGGGATCCTGATTCTTTTCTAACTAGCATGATCAAGTGTAGATTTCAATAGTGGTGCGTGGTTCCATCTCAAGAGTTATGTCTTGAGGAAAGAATATTATACAAATTGATAGACATTCATCTCTCATCTATTTCAATCAATTCGAAGCTAAAACCTGGTATTTATTTCAGTTCATGCTCTTCAATGCTTGTACTTGTAAGTTTTGACCATAGGAATTTGACAGTTCCACTTGTATGCTTTGCCCATACAGTTCCCTCCTTGTAAGTGATCAGTGAAATACCCTGTTGGGCATAAGCTCGGAAATTTATCTCATCCATCAAAATCCTAAGCATTTATAGTAGTTTAAGCATCATCTAAATTTATGTTAGCCATCTATATCCTAAAAGCATATTAGAACATTTACAGTTTTGGTTTTTTTTTTTTCAAGGTCATTAATTGCCTCTGACAAGTCTGCCTTGGAAACATGCATCATTCTGTGTTGAAGAAATGTAATAATGTTTGTTTCTCTTTTATTTCATGATTGCAGGGGGAAATGGCCGCATTAATTGATGTACAATTGGGTCTTAAAATGCCCAGACCATATTAGACACTCAGTTCTTCACGCTTCTATTTGTCATGGAGCTGCAAGGGAGGTGAGTGTTAACAAAGTTAGGAGCCATATTTGACAGCATGAACTTGTATAGTGAGCAATTAAGTGACTAAAATGCCGTTTTCTGATAATTCTAATTTATTTCAGGCAAGCTGAGTATGATCCAGGTAATCCCCTTGAGGACCTGAAGACACAAGCCTTGACAGACAGCTGCTATATTATCAAAAACTCCCTGCTGCATGCCCACTCCCATTTGAGGAGGCTAAGTTGTGATTTGTGAAAGCACAATGCTAATGTGAATTGAAACAGAAAATTCCAGGACAATTCTGAAACATTTTGTTTGTTGAAAAATCCTTTGGCCTTTGTCTTTGACGTGATCCCTTTTGACGAAGGTGGAGCAAAGGGCTAACTTTTATTTGGCTTCAAATGTAAAAGGAAGTATTTTTAACTTTACTCTTTTGTTTTTTAGTAATTAATCGCATAATGGGAGAAATTGCGAAGAACATGGTCTTGTTGCACTATACACCTGTATCCACCGGCAATGCATTGCATTGATGGACAAGTCAGGCCATAGTTTTAAATAGTGGTTGTTGTTGAAAAACGATTGTGATCGTGATCGCGGGTCGCGGCTCATCGCGGTTGTAAAATAACGATCGTGGCGAGTTAATTGTGTGAATACATTAGCAATCGACAATAAATTTATTCTAATTCACATTTTTTGACAGCTTTACTAATTAAACATAATAATAAGTAATTATATCTCTAATAGTTTAATAATATATAACAATAGTTAAATTTATTATAAAAAGTAATTAATAACAATTCTAATAGATTAATATCACATGAAAAATAATAAAATACATTATAATTTCAGTAATTGCAGGAGAAAGAAAGCAAAAGAAGGCAAAACAAATTCCCTCTTTTCATTAATAATTACGAGAGAAATAAAGCAAAAGAAAACAAAAAAATCCCTCCTTTTCATTAGTAATTGTGGGAGAAAGAAAGCAAAAGAAGATAAAAAAATATCCAATTGCATTTCGGGCTTTTTTTTCAACAATTTAAATTTTTTATATATAACGCCGTTATATAACGGCTAATAACGGCGTTACATAACGGTAACGCCGTTATCTGCCGTTATAGGCGTGAAACGGCATTTAGGCTCTTATAACATCGAAAAACAGTAACGGGTTCCTCCGTTACCGTTATATAACGGTCGTTACGAGACGTAACGGCCGTTTTTTAAAACCATGAGTCGAGCTGTGAAAAGTGTCGACTTTGGAAATTCTCTTTTCTAATAATGTCCATGAACACTTGGCAACAAAGCAAGTATTTATTGCTGAAGCTAACAAAGTTTTGCATTTTCTTAAATTGGATGAATATCAAATTCAATATGTTGCCTGTCAGAGCAAGAAATGACACAATTTTGGCTTACAAAACTCTCCAAAAACTTCAACCATCTTGCCATGACTTTTCATCTGGATGTAGAGATTTATGCAGGAGATATTTTCTTATGATGATTTTACAGTTAAAAATCAGACGCCAAGGCATTACGAAAATAAACTTTCTATCCAAGCCTAATTATACCTCTCAAATGATCAATTTAGCCAATTGTCCTCAGTTAGTATGAGTTGATTTTTCTTATAGTTGGGCTGTCTCTTGTTAAACTAGTTCATATACATTCGAAACAGAGCAAGAAGATAAATTACATGTCAATCCCAGCTTCTGCAACATGTTCATCTGGATCACCTGTAAACGGTTATGTTGGTCGGTCTGGATAGAAGGTGATCCGAACATGCTGGACCAGCAGGCTGCAGCATGGTATGTCTGCTTCTCTATGGAATGACAATTTGTCCTACTCCGACGAAACCCCGCCCCGGTCAACAGGGGGATTACTTGCATCGACTGGGGAACGGGAAGGGGCAGGGCGCTCCTTATTTATTTTGAACGGGGATGGGATGGAAATGGTATTTACCTGCTCGGCTCATTTGTTCCGTTTCATCTCAAAAATTATAATTATATCTTATATAAAATTTGTGATTACCGACTCTTAAGACTTATTTTCTATATGAACTATCTTTTTTTTTTTTTTTTGTTATAGTTTGAAATTTAATAGTAAAATAAGATAAAAAGAGATGAAAAGAAATAAATAGGACATCGGTGCCTCGTAAGAATCTCCATTCCAGTTTAGGGCGGGAATGGTATGACAAATTTTATCCTGCGCAAAACACAAGATAGAGATAGGACAAAATTTTCAGGAGCAGGCCATCCCCTCCCCCGCCCCATCCCATTGCCATTCCTACTTCTCTTATAATGTTGCAACACTAGCGTATGAAGAATAATAACTTAGTTTTAAGCTGCTTCTAAGTTCCAACTGCCAAGAGTCCCCCTACTGGGCAGAACCAATTAAAGGCTTTCTCTAGGGACCCCATTTGATTGATGGTTGATGAAGAGATTGGTGGTCTGCGTATTTGGATTAAACCAAAATTTTCATCATTCATTAACCCTGCAATGTTTTCGCCATTTCTACATGCTAAATAAAATTTACAAGAATGATAATCACAAAACATGAGTAATTCTTACATGATACATCTGTAAGGCTAGCAACAATTTTCTCGAAGAAAATAAGACCATCCATTAACTGGATCAAAACCCAAAAAAACATCATGGGCTAGGGCAAAGGTTGTTTGAACCCAGAAACTTTGACAGTTCATTTAACCCGCGCGTGCACTATGAACTCCACCATCTGTTTAGTGGGCTACAAGCAAAGAAAGCCGAAAAAGAAAATTAAATAATAACATT